AGTAACAAGTGCCTTACTAGTAACAAGAAGCTACTAGGAACAAGTGCATCGCTACTAGTAACGAGTGCCTAAACTAGTAACAAGAAGCTACTAGGAACAAGTGCCACGCTAGTAATAACAAGTGCCTTACTAGTAACAAGAAGCTACTAGGAACAAGTGCCACGCTAGTAGTAACAAGTGCCTTACTAGTAACAAGAAGCTACAGGGAAACTTAACTCTTGGCTTCACTGGAAAGGACAACGTGAGGCTCCGACCTCTGCGGTGCAGGTTAGTCCAGGCAATTGTGGCGATGAACCGTGAAGCGCGGCTTCTTCCAAACTGTCCACACTTCCCTGTGGTCGTGGAAGATGAGCCTCAATCAATTGCCGCCCGGTCAAAATCAAAGAAATGGAGCTGGAACGATTTTTAATGGGAAAGGAAAGCATTTAGGTTGGAGGCCATCGCTAGTACGTTGGACGCCAAGGAACATATTGTTCTTATGGCCCCATTGGGGCCTAAAGCTTCACGCTGTTTCCATAGTTGAAGCCGACTCCAAAAAGGGGTGCCACCACCATGTTCCATGGAAATTGCATCCTACGCTCTTCCAGGAAACTCATGCTCATGCTTCCGAGATTCATATTCTTGCGACTGATGACACGCTGTTTTGCATTCGTGACCGCAATGTGGATGTGTAATTGGCACCTTTCCAAAGAGCTGCAAACACGCTACTGCGGGGCGCTCCTAACAAGGACGCGACTAGTAGGAAAGGGTATCGCTACTAGGAGCAAGGACGCTACTAGGGGTCCCTCCTCCTGGCATTACTACTAGAAACCACATGGGGTTTGGTGCTCTCTTCGAACAGTTGCTTGGCTTGCGACGTCAACACTTCAAGACTCTTCAGGACTGGACTGTCTCTTTGCAATGGAGGCCAGCGCTACTAGGTTGGAGGCCATCGGTAGTAGGGTGCAGGCCATCGGTAATAGGATGGAGGCCATCGCTATTAGAAGCAAAGAAAAAGAACCTGAACATACATCTAGTAGCTTCTTGTTACTAGTAACAATGCTCTTGTTACTACTAGTAGCGATGCACTTGCTATACTAGTCCAACACTAGTCCAATTTGGTTTACATTTCTTTTAAAACACTTCAGGACTCTTGAGGACTGGACTGTCTCTTTGCAATGAGATCGCACATTTGCCAAATCAAATGCTTTCCCGCACTTGACCTTTTCCTCGTGCCCACATCTGCCTTGGCATCTTGCACCAAGGAACACCTCTACCACCCAACACCCACTGCAAAGACAAGATACGTACAAAGGTCACAATTTTGTCGCAAACATGGTCCTCGGCTGCGTCACTATGTCAGTAGAAAACAATCGATTTCTCAATCTGTTGCGAGCATGCGACACAAATGCCCTTCTAAACTTTGCTTTTGAGCTTTCCCCGTTCTCATTAAACTGGATTCTTCCAGCATCAATGCTGAATCCCTTGACATCTTATCAGTACAGCTTCCAATGGGCCATAGGCTTCTCCTTCTCGCACCATACCATCACCACATCGGCCTCAACACCAAGCGCCGCAACGCAATCCTTTCTTTAAACAACAAAAGGGCTTGCTGTTGGGCTGTCATGAGTGTTTTCAAAAGCATCCAGTCATGAGATGATTTCCCCTTTGTCTCCCCACTTCTGTTCACTTCCTTCTTCTTTCCCTCTTGCGCTTCTTACAAGGACGACTACCATGTGGAACTACCACCAAGAGAGTTCCTTTGCAACCTATCCGAAAGGTACCAAGTCTGGGTTTTCTATGACAGGCTACGTTCCTGCACTATGCACTGTCGCTGTAGGGCCTTAGATCTGCTCGTGTTTGTTTGCTTTGCAAACCTTTTTAGTGGACCTTTCGTTGATTCTTTTCTATTTTTGAAGTTTATTTATTTCTTTGCCGTTTTGGTCCTTTTCTCTTTTCCTCTCGTTGGCATACTCCTACTCCCAAGAGCGCTTCTAATCAAAAAAATGCACGGTGCTTTGGCGACTGCCGACCATTGAAACTGCGCCGACACACATTTGCCCAGGCCTCCAGTCCAGCTTCGCAACGACTGCTCCTCGGCACATGAGACCTGAGGAGGAAAGTGGCAGTGGCCTCCAACCTAAGAGCGATGGCCTCCAATCATCCAATCTACTAGCAATCGCCTCCAGCCTAGTAGCGATGGCCTCCATCCTAGGAAAAAACCTTCCAAACAAGGTACCATGCTTGAAACATGAGCAATGAATTTTAGAAAGTTGAGCCAAATGATCAACCTGAGAGTCTTCAATCTCTGAGAAACTACGATGGTCTCAAGCCTTGGCAGGATGGCCACATCGTGGGAGATCAATATCAAGCTTCTGTGGGCAAACAAATTGTGCTGCGCTGCGCAGGTACGCTGACCTCGGAGAAAATGGGCAAGATCCTGCGGACAGATCCTACTTGCTCAATAAGACATCCCTTCGCGGACACCATCTGCAAACTGCAGCCAAAAATCTTAAAGCTGCATTTCACTGAAATACAGTGACCGCAATCAGGAAGGTATTCGACTAAGTGTTCACACTTTGGGACCTGCAAGCTGTGGAAGCTCTTAAAGTGCTCCCATTGAAGGTTAACATCGAACCCCCTACCTTTTCTTGCCTTCAAGGGGAGTAAGATCCACTTTGTACGCTGTGGTTAGTGAAGGCTCAGGTCTCAGGTCATAGGGAACAAGCCTTTTTTGGTGACGAAACTCCTAGTAGCGTGCTTGCTCCTAGTAGTAAGGCCAGGAGGTACTAGTAGCATTCTTGTTACTGGTAGTAAGGCCAGAGCCCCTAGTAGCTTCTTGCTCCTAGTAGCGATGCCCTTTGCTCCTCAACCCTAGCGAGAACCGCAATTCCTTCACTGAATGCACCCGAATATGGCCTTGCTTGGCTCTCGCTTGTACTCGGCAAGGAAGTAGCAAGTGACCTCCCGGGTATGCTTGCAATCTGGGTAGACATACCTCGGATGTCAGAGCTTCAATGCTTTTGCATCCATTCGAATGGATCAAGGACAAAGAAGCTACTAGGAGCAAAGGGCATCGCTAGTAGGAGCAAAGACGCTACTAAGGGCTCCTGGCCTTACTACTCGGAACAAGAAGCTACTAGGAGCAAATTAGTCAGTTCCGCTGCTTCAAGCTGCGGCGTATGGGAGGTCTTGTCACATCTTGGCATGGGCCGCGAACCATTTTGAATCTCCTCCTCTTCTGCGCAAGCCATCTCGGGCTCGTGGCTGCAAGGAAGCAGCAGCTTCACTTTTACCGGGCACCGGTAACTGGACAAAGCCACATCGATCAAGTCGTCTGATGAAGCCTGACCTTCGGACGTTTTTCTTTCAAGTCTTGAACATCCTTTGGGAAGGCCATCGCTAGTAGGAGCAAAGACGCTACTAGGAGCTCCTGGCCTTACTACTAGGAGCAAGAAGCTACTAGGAACAAAGGGCACCGCTACTAGGAGCAAGGACGCTACATGATGCTACTAGGTTGGAGGCCATTGCTAGTAGGTTCTGACATCCGTAACAACTGGAAGTCTCGGTTGAGAAGACATCTCAAGGAGCAGACTGTTTGTGAAAATCTCATGGCAGGGAAGATCTGCTTGGTGCCCTTGGACGAAGCTGGAAAAGGAATGCAAGTCTTGTCTGCAAGGCACAGTCCAACATACTAGTAGCAAGAAGCTATTAGGTTGGAGGCCATAGTGACAATTCCCTCAATTTCATTTCAAGATTGCTCTGCTAGTTCTGCTGACTGTGGTTTGCCACCCAGTTGCGCAAACATGGTGAGCTCACCAAAGCCTGGCAGAGTACAGGCCACCACAAGCACTTTTCTTTTCAAAAAGAAAGCTAGCAATGGCCTAGCAATGGCCTCCAACCTAATAGCGATCAAAGGCGTAACTGCTTTGACAGCAATTTTAGCAAGTTGAAAGCTGTTATGCTTCAAGCCTGGCAATTCTTGTTATGCTTCCGCTCAGGCCAATGGCACTGGAGGTTGCAGGAATGGCCGCAACTCAGCTTCTCCTGATGAAATGGCTACATGCTGCTGGCCCAGACTCCTTTCCTGCTATCGCTTTCATTTTGTATTTTTACTTAGACAACTCCGATAAGAAACACATTCGATGGCAACTCAGCTGCTCCTCGCAGATGGCTTTGCAAAAAACCCCGCTTCAGTTCCGTTGCTTTCTCCTCTCAAGCGCAATCTTGCACAGGAACCTACTGTTTTCTTTCGCCACGCTATTAGGTTGGAAGCCCTCCCTATGAGGAGGAAGGTCACAACAGAAAACCTACTAGCGACGAGCTACTAGGAGCAAAGGGCATCGCTACTAGGAGCAAGGACGCTACTAGGGGCTCCTGGCCTTACTACTAGGAGCAAAGAAGCTAGTAGAAACAAGTGCATCGCTACTAGTAACAAGTGCCTTACTAGTAGTAACAAGAAGCTACTAGGAACAAGTGCATCGCTACTAGCAAGAAGCTACTAGGAGCAAAGGGCATCGCTAGTAGGAGCAAAGGTGTTTCGTTGTTCCGGTCTTTCTCACCGAGACACTGCTCCAAAGGAGTTCGTTGGGTGCTGCCCACAGCAAAGAGGCAGCGCAGGTCCAACGCGAGCTTTGGGGAAGCAAACGTTGGGCACAGCCTCCCAAAAATCCGCCAAAGGGCTAAACGAAGCAGAAAAGATGGAAGAAGTCGAAAGTAGAGTGAAACAAAGCAATGAACTGAAAGTATCTTGACCAGTTTCGTTGTCAGTAGTAAGGAATACCAATTTACTAGAAACTTAATAGCGATGGCCTCCAACAAGTTTTGTCAAGTGCACTTTGAGTTGTTTTGAATCATATGGCGGCAACTGCACCTTGCTGTCAGACACAGCTGGCGGCTCCTGGCCACAATGAAGCAGGCAGTTCATGTGTCAGGTAAGTCTAGTAACAAGGTTGCCACTAGGTGGAGGCCATCGCAAGTAGGTTGGAGGCCGTCGCTACTAGCAACAAGAAGCTACTAGTAGAATTCTTTGTTACTCTTAGAGAGTTCTTTGGGAATCGTTTCACCTGTAGTAACAAGAAGCTTCCTAGTAGTATGAGTAACAATGAAGCTTTGGCTCTTGAGTCTTTGGGAGTCTTAGAGACCGCTGCAGTTGGAGCCTCCCGTTCGAACAAGCGACGGAAAAGACACAAAGAAGGTAAGTGCCTCTTTCGCCTTATCTTTCCTCATCATTTTAGACCAAGCTGAAAATAAGCTGAAACTTAGAAGCTACTAGGAGCTCCTGGCCGTACTACCAGGAGCAAGGACGCTACCCAGGGGCTTGTGGCATCGCTACTAGGAGCTTCTCCTGGCATTACTGTCTGCGTCAGGACGCACTTTCCCGGTTAAAAGCTGCCACAAACAGAGTCAACATCCCGTCCTGCAAGATCTCAAAGGTTCGCTGCCAATGCTTTTCTGGTCGAGAGTTTTCAAAGTATCCGGTGTTTCCTTAGAGATCTCGCCCTAAGCTATAAGCACAATGGCCTCCAACTCACTAGCAATGACCTCGAAACACCAAAAAGAAATTGCCTTCAACCTACAAGCGATGGCCTGTCAAGTTGAATAAACACTCAAACACAATTCATTGCCCTGTGGCCATGCTTCCAAGTATATACATCCCAAGACGTGCTCGTGAGAGAAGCACAATCATTCGGTTTTGCAACTTCACGAACGGCGTTCTGGAATGCTCATCAACAACCTGGTGAGACAGACTTGGATGTGTGTAACTTCTGGATTTGCAGCCTCAAAGCAAACTGTTGACAAATCAAGGAACAAGCTTATTTGAGAACGAAGCTGGCCACTAACTTGCGGCAAAGAGCCAAAGAAGCTATGACGACATCTCCTTCGTCTCCTTGAAAGCGATCAACAGTAGAGAGGCGAATCTGGTCGGCGTCCGATGGATTGTGGGATAACAACCAGCTTTGGCTTTGGTCGCTCAGGAGCTGCTTCCTCATCAACATGAGTTGCCCCTTATAGGGCGTGAGGATCACAATACTTGGCTTTGGTACTCCACAATCCACCAAGTAATACGCCAACCAGACTGCCATATCTGCTTCCTGTCGGTTGATCTTTGAAAGACCAACTTCTGCTTTGCCCTGACTTCCAGAATGCGTCCATAAATAGATGTGGCTGGCAACTCCAGGTACTTCACGACCTTTGTAGAAGCTTCCGGACGCAATGCTCCCTGGAATCTTCTTGGTCCAGCAGGTTTCGTGATCTTCAATGGAAGTGATTTCAGCGTAGTACCTCAAAGGCATGGACACTTTACTTACAAAGCAAATTAATGCAAATAGTTGATCTTTTCTCCACAAATGCAACAGAACCACTAAACTTCACTAACCACTTTGGCAAGTTGCTCCCTTGTAAGATCACACACGTCTTTCCTCATACGTCGTTGCACAGAGAGGACCGAACTGGGCGCTTTGTGGTCGTTTGGCGCTGTGATGAGCCGCTCAAACATGGAGATGTTCACGTTGTTGACCCTCCAGGAAGCTGTCAAATTACAAATGTGAAGTGGATTTCTTGCAGAAGTAACGCTCTGTCTACTAGCCCTATGTGGCAGTCTTGAAATCAACTTGATCTTATTGAGGTACATAGACTTTAGGTACTGCGGCTTCACATTCAAATCAGCGGATTGATTTCCTGTCGGGGTCCTCTCGAAAGCAAACTTCTGCATGATCGAAGGTTGCAGCTGTAGATGATCTCCTATCATCTCCAGTTTCACCTCGGCCACACAAAGGTAACTATCCACAAAGATCCAACAAACCAAGGGTCGAGGTAGTGGATTGAACTCACTGCTACTGAAAAACAATATGATTTTATGTTTAAAGGCACTCATTTTCTTTATTCTTTTTCCCAAATGGTCGTGAAGGTTCTCGTTTAACTCTGGGGATAGGGTCTTGTTCGAGAGGCGTTGCAGCAGCGACCGCAGCCGTCCGCAGCCTTCGCTGTAGGGCGTTATGGCGCTGATAGCGGGGGAGGCTTTTAAGAGGGGGTGAAGTAGCGTGGAAAGTGTGGAGGATGAATCTGCTGCGCAGGCGCAGCCTTTTGTGAGATCCTCAGTTTCCTTCGCTGTGAGAGTGGGATTGGCGGTTAGAGGACGGTATCTTTGAGGTGTTGGATTTGCATGCCACGCTGTTGCTTCGAATTTCCTGACAAGTCTCAGCTAAAGTTGCGATTTTGGTGGATGTGAGGGTGCTCAGAAAGTGTTGAACCCAGTGGTGTGGCGCAAGTATTGCTGAAGACATGAAGATGTCATGTCGCCAATTTGCGTGGCAGGCGCAGGACTTTGTGCGTGAATGAGGCGTCGTTGAATTTTGGTGGCAGGCGCAGGGAATCGTGAGGTTGCGACGCTTGGTGGAGGTGAGTGTCGCTGTGGCAGTGGAATTGGTGTGTCAGCTGGTGTGGTTTTGAGGGGCTGGGACTGCGAACCTGCTTGATGTGCTCGCTCGTTTTGGACTTGACGCATAAGTTTTGGAGGAAGCAAGCGTGCCCCGCAAGAGTGTTCCACAAGAGTGTTGCACGAGAGTGTCCCACAAGAGTGTCCCACAAGTGTCTCTTACAAGAGTGCCCTACAAGAGCGTCCCACAAGAGCACCGCATACAAGAGTGTCTTGCAAGAGTGTCCCACAAGTGTCAAACAACTTTTGGCCGTTTGTTTTTGAGTGCGTGTGTGCGTTCGGGGTGGTGGGTTCCATCTCGTTATTTTCCTTTAGATCTTTACATCTGTTCCTTTTTGATTTCTGTTAACTTTAACGCTCCTTTACGAAGAACGCTTCTTAAGCTGGTGAGGTCTTGTGAGCGGTCTGGAGACGCTAAGCCAAGGCACCGTGCTGTCGCAAAAGCAGCTGAACAGCAATGGTTCCAAGACCTGCGATCTGGTTTTAAAGACCCTTTTCGTCAATAGCCACCTAATAGAGATGGCTTCCTACCTAATTGTGATGGCCTCCACCCTAATAGCGATGGCCTGCAGCCTACTAGCAATGGCCTCCAACCTAATAGCGATGGCCTGCAACCTAATAGAAATGGCTCGCTATGGCCTCCAACCTACTGCAATTGGCTCCAACCTAATAGCAATGGCATCCAACCCAGTAGTGGCCTCCAACCTAGTGGCAATCCGGTTTTAAATCTCTTTTGGAAAGAATAATTTCCTTTTGCTCATAAAAGCTCTCTCATCTTACTATCTTTATTCTTTCCTTGTCTTCTCTAATCAAAATTAAACAAACCTCAATCACATATTGCTGTAATTCCTTTGTCTCTTCTCTTTCTTTCTTTGTAACCTCTCCTTCTTTGCTTCTCTCTTTCCCTTATGCCTTCTGATGCAAGATCGTGACTATCCCCTCTGCCTTCGGATTCAACTACCTCTCTTGTCCTGCGCTACTTGCAATGCTTTCTACAACCCTCGTGGCCATGCGCTTGGACCATGCTTTCCTTCCGCGGCCTTTGGTCTTCCTAAGGGGCCCCATGACAAGAAGTGCTGCTGCTGGACCGCCGGAGAAACTTCCTTCTGGAAGGCGACTTTCTGAAGGTTCTGACGGTCTTTCTGTTTTTGCAGAGATTTGTCGCCTCGGACGCCTCCTCCACCACCACTGCAAAGGGCCGAGTGCTGCGGATCGCCTCCAAGCGATTAGTAAGAAACGTCTAGTAACAAGTGCATCGCTACTAGTAGCAAGGACGCTACTAATACCTCCTGGCCTTACTACTAGTAACAAGGACGCTACTAGTAACAAAGTGCGTCGCTACTAGTAGCAAGAAGCTAGTAAGTTGGAGGCCATCGCTATTGGTAACAAGTGCATCGCTAGGTTGGAGGGCCATTGCTAGTAACAAGTGCAACAAGGGCCTCCAAGCGCGAGATGCATCCCACGATTGTGCCTGAGCAGACATGTGCACCCTTTTCGCGCAGACATTGTGCCTTCCCAGTCTTCAGACTAAACTGTGCTCTTTAAACCTAGTAACAAGTTCATCACTACTAGGAGCAAGGACGCTACTAGGGGCTCCTATCCTTACTACCCTTGAGCAAGAATGCTACTAGTAACTGGTGCATCACTACTAGCCATGTCTCTGCCAGGGTGCCTCCAATGATTGATTTGTCCTCATAGACTCGAGCAGATGCTCTCACCTCGGCATCGTGGAGCTTCTTGCGATAGAGCCAGGATTGGTCCTCGCTGTGGCGCCAACAGGCTTTCTAAGCACATGGCAAAATGACAACATGCGACAAATCCAAAAGGTTCCAAAGAATGAAAGACAAACCGATCTAAGCTTAAGGTATTCAGCTTTCCTTTGCAAACCACACCCCTTCCTAAGACTCTTCCGATTCTTAGAGCTACGGTTGGTCCTTCACTTTCCCGATGACCTGCGTGTCAGGGAGCACACTGGCCCGACATTGTCGAATGGCTTCATTGAGTGATTGAGGCGCGGACGATGCTGAGCGTGTCCCGTTGTTGGGACATGAACATCTGACAGGCTTCCCAGCGCTCCTGGAACGCTTTAAGAGGCCTAAAAGACCAGACTTTGGGCTTTGTATCGCAGCCCCACCTGGAAACTCATGTCCCAAGTCCATTGCTTTGTATCTTTTGTTGCTGCATCTTCCGCCTGATCTTGGAAATTTTCCTCTTCCTTCGCCTCATCCTCTGAGGATGACTCGCCGCTCCATTCAGCAAAATCATAGACCTTTGTTGACACTTTAAGGCTGGCCGTGCTTCCGACGCATCGCTGTCAAAACACACACGAATTGAGGAACGTGCAACTTGTGTCAAACTTTTGCATTAGTGGATTCCTTTTTAACAAAAAAGCCCGCGGGGGGCTAGGATAGCTCACGCTTCTTCAAGGAAACTCAGGCGGCGGGGGGGAGCTTCCTTGAAGAAGCGCTCGCATTAATGATTTGGTTCCTAGATCTTAAGGAAACCTTAACTATACTAGACCTAGTGCTTGAACAATTTGGTGTTTCCTTTCTTCCTCCAACCTAGAAGCGAACCATTTGCAATTGGGTTTCCTGGCCTCGCGGAGGTGTTGCAAATGATCTGCCTCCTCCACCTCATCTTGATTGTCGTATTTCCCGTCCTCGTCCATGTTGGGTGGATTCTCAGATCCCTCAGATCCAGCAGATGCAAACTCTGCGTCCTGCACCAATCGTTCACCGAAAGCTCAGAATACAAAATGGGTGACGTAGGGTGATACACAAACAAAGGGCAACTTACCCTTTACTGCTAGCTGCTAGCTTACTTAAAAGCCTACCTCCTCACAGCTCACCAACCTACTAGCAATGGCCTCCAACCTAGCAGTGGCCTCCAACCTACTAGCGATGGCCTCCAACCAAACAGAGATGGCCTCCAACCTAATAGCAACGGCTATTCAACTGGATGCAATTTCTTAGGTCATGAAGGGCGGACGCTTGATGTCATGGAGTGCGGTGTGCAACGTGCCTCAATGTCCTCTGCTGCATAGAAGCTCTGCTTGGGAGGTGGTTCCACCGCCACCTGCCCAGCTTGAATCGAATTCTGCGAGAAACTGTGGGAATCTTAAACCATCTGCAAACAAGAATGCTACTAGTAGCAACTGTTTAGCAATCCAGGATCACGCTGATCATGCCTGGTCCTTGCTGACGGCTTCCCTCATCTCTTCCAGGGTTTGCTCTGATGGTGCATGGACATCACAGTATCGGGACCCTGGTCGTGCTTTGGACTGACACGGTTTGCCCTTGTGGTTCTGGCCGATGCACTTCCTATTCTCCTCAACGTCTGCCCTCTCCTCACCATCGGATTCTTCCAAGACGGGCGCAGCTGGTGACCAGCCCCAACTAAAACCCCACCTTGGTTGAAGGAAAGCATCTAAAAATGTTCAAGCGCTTTGCCATCGCTAGTAGGTTGGAGACCATGGCTTTTAGGTTGGAGGCATCGCTCTTAAAGCGCTTTGCTTTGTTTTGATCAGTTTTCCCACATTCCACAGGCATCAAAGACCCAGCGCAACATCAGAATCTGTATCAAGACCTCGAGAGTGCTCGACTCTGCCAAGCAACCGTCTCTGTGACAAATGCATATGATCTTTGCAAAATGGCCGCAAGGAGGACGCTGCTCGGTTTCTGCATGGTTCCCCGTTGACCTTTGCCTCACACATGATGAAGTCGTGTTCGGCGCAAGCATCTCGACCGGGCAGCGCAAGCTCATCGCACTGCCAGCAAAGCCTCGTTTTGTGTGAAAGAACTGGTTAAATCTTAAACAAAGGAGGGGTAGGTCGCTAGACGAGGTAGCTAGTAGCCAAAAGTAGCTATCAAGTAGGACACTTATACTAACTGGACGCAGGATAGCCCAGCGCTCGCACTAATCGTTTGGTTCCTAGCTTTGTAGGGAAAACCCAAGATCAAACATTGGCCGAAAGCCGAGAAGCGCATGCTTTTCGCAAGCATTTCTTGGAGGGTCATCAGTAGCTTCCAGCGCACGTGCGCCTTCCTTTAGACATACAAAGCAGGCATGCCACGAGCAGAAATCCTGGCGATTTGAAGACGAAGCGTGGTTAGCTAGTGGCAAAATCTAAGAACTCTTGGCCAAAGTCTAAAAGCCATCAACATGTATCAAGAAGCAACATCTGCCTCACAGCATAATTCAAAACATCTGCGCCTGCTCTGCAAGCTTCTTTTGAGGGCACTCCAAAACGCCGCAAGCGTGATCCTTGCATCCCTGACGCCCAGGGATGACCGGATGCTGGCAGCGGCTCCAATCCTGCAAAAGAAACAGCTAGCATCTCCAACTTGCTCCTAGTAGCGATGCCCTTGTTACTAGTAGCATTCTTGCTCCTAGTAGTAAGGCCAGGAGCCCCTAGTAGCGATGCCCTTTGCTCCTACTAGCTTCTAGCTACTAGCAGTGCCCTTGTTATTAGCCCCTTTGTTTCCATTAGCGATGGCCTCCAACCTATGCTCAGAGATGCTGAACGCATCAAACGCGCGTTCTCTGTATTTCTTGTCTCTAGCTGGTGAGAGTTTATGGCTGAAGCAAAGACTGCGACCCTTCAGGGTAGGAATTTGACAGTGATTGGATTTCAGCTCCGCCCCTACTAACAAGACCCTACGATATGCTCCTGGCCTTACTACTAGGAACAAGAAGCTATTAGGGGCTCCTGGCATCGCTACTAGGAGCCAAGACGCTACTAGGGCAATCGCTATTAGGTTTGGAACATTTGTTGACAAACTTTCATCTCAGTGTGCTTGGCCAGGTCTTCAGCACGTCCTCCAGTTCCCAACCGCAGCGATGGTTTGCCTGAGCCGAAGAAGCAAAGGGAGCAGGAGACCCTTGTCACTTACTTGCGCTCTTTGAGCAGCAAAGTGTTTATATTCAATTCTCGCTACTAGGAACAAGGGCATTACTACTAGTAGCAAGGGCGCTACTAGTAGCTCCTGGCCTTGCTACTTGGAACAAGAAGCTACTAGTAGCAAGGACGCTATTAGGTGGAGGCCATCGCAAGTAGGTTGGAGGCCATCGCTACTAGTAACAAAGCGCATCGCTACTAGGAACAAGACCTTTATCGCCACCAAGCAACGCAAAGGGGCGCTTCATGATCAAAGGCCAAATCGGAACAGGACACATAGCCATAGCTATAGTTGCAAAGTGGAAGTGGCCGCCATCCACGAAGGAACAAGAGAAGAATCTCACCTGGCAAGCACACTACCAGCTACATCTCCGATCGCTTTAGCATACAGCACACCATATGGTAAGGGTTTCTCGTCCCTGCAAGGGAAAAATCTCAAAAGAAATAAAGAAACAGAAGACACAAAAACCAGACACATAAGAATATTCCGTTTCTTGTGCCCGAATAATTCCTTTACAAAACACCATGCCACGTCTTTGCCACCGTCACTACCGTGTGATGGAATCACTGCCTGGGTCATCCAGGTGTGTGTGACCAAGTTCAATGTAATGCTCGATACCTGCCGTGTCAAACTGGACTCGGTCTTGACATCCAGGCTACTAGGAGGAGGCCATCACTAGTAGGTTGGAGGCCGTCGCTACCAGGGGCAATTGCTACCAGGTCTTGAAAGACACAAGGCTTAAGGCATTGTGCGTTCAAGACCTGAAACCTTTTGGAAGTGAAAGGGGCAGGAACAAGAAGAAACAAGAAACGTCTAAAGAGGGTCGCAAAGTAGAGTACATGTAAAGCCTGCAAAAAGGAGTTACGACATGAAAGTGTTCACATTGGTACGTGCTCACTTGAAACCACACCATGGCGCCTTCTCTCAAATTGGGGATGTCTTCCAGGGCCTACAGTTCACGCATGTTCACGCCGCGTCCAATGGTTCAAAAGAAGCAGAAAGCCGAATGACCCAAATGTCAACAAATATGAAACATCCAACAAACATGGCCTCTCTTCTTCGGTGGGAATGGTAATGGCTGCGTTGCATATGTCCAGCTTCTTCACGGATAAAGTCCAAGTCATTAAGAATGGTCGTGTCATCTGGCATCTTGTAGTCATCTTCGTCAGAGTCCTCTAAAACGGGAAACTATCCATCTGCGAAAGTCCTCTTCTCAGGTGTTCCACGGAGATTGTGGACATGAACTTTTTGCTTGCGCGACCGAAGGCTTTTTAGTAACGGTTGTAAAAAAAACACACTGGAGTGAAACACTTCAAGTTGGACAAGAAGGCAAGAAGGCTACTAAGGGCTCCTGGCCTTACTACTAGGAACAAGAAGCTAGTAGGAGCAAAGGGCATCGCTAGTAGGAGCAAAGGATGCTACTAGGGGCTCCTGGCATTGCTACTAGGAGCATTCTTACTTCTAGTAACAAGAAGCTACTAACACTTCAAGTTGGACAAGAAGCTAGTAGAAACAAAAAGAATTAAATTAGAATTGTATTAGAACTGAAACAAACAGCTACTAGGTTACTAGGACCTTTTCGCGCGCGCGCGAGCAATAGTGAGTGGCAAACACGTCAAGTTGGACATGTTTTTCAAACAACACAGTCTCGTCCTGCTCGAATGCTTCCAACATGCGGCGATATCGAACCAGGGTGGCCTTGGAGCGAAAGGAAGGAGAGGAGGAGCAAAGAGCAAATTGGCTATCCCTTTAAAGAATGTCCTTTTGCAAGGGCATTGCTAGTAGAAACAAGTTTTCTTTTCTTATTATTTTCTTTGGTTTTTCACTTCTTATGTTTTTGGAGGCCATTGCTAGTAAGTTGGAGGCCATCTCTATAAGGTCGCTGGTTTCTTTCCAAAAGTGCTTCTTCAATCTTTTCCTTCTTTCTTTTGAGACCCAAAACAGGTGTCTTTCATTCGAACGATCAAAAACCATCTTGGTCTTGTTCAACATCGCTATATAACCACTGCGGGAAGCTGAGGCTCTGGCGAGAAGCTGGTCAGTGGCTTCATAAGCACATTTTCGTCCTGAAAACCGGACAACAGAACGAAGCAAAAAAACGCATTGGAGGCCATCGCTAGTAGACCGAATAGTATTTTTTCTGTTTCTTTTTGCCGCTTTCGAGGTGGAATGGATTGATCCGACGTTCACACATCAAGGCACGTCTCTTCTCGGCGTCTTTCTCGTTCTCAGATGGAAAAGCGGCCTTGAACATGTCGACCTGACGGTGGGACAAGAAGGCAGGCAAGAAGGCTACTACGAGCAAAGGGCATCGCTACTAGGAGCAAGGACGCTATATAAGCTACAGAAATGACAGTGGTCTTGGGCGTCTACTTCTTGCAAGTATTAGCCAGAACGCTGCCCGGTGATATCCGGGGCTGTAGCAGGGCCAGCGGAGGCCATTACAATTAAGTTGGAGGCCAACGAGGCCATCGCTCTTGGGTTTCTAGGACATCGCTCTCAGGTTGGAGGCCATCGCTCTTAGGTTACAATCCTTTTCCAATCTCCATTGGAGTGACTGTATGTTGCGGAGCCGTCATGAAAGACCATCAACTGACCAAGCGCTGAATTCAATGAGACTTCAAGCGTGAATCGCAGTGCAGGCAGGTAATGCGGTGATTAGTCCTGTGGTGACGCGTCAAGTGGTTCGTTGTGTGTGGTGAAGTGTAGCGCGGTCTCGGTTCAATCCTGGCAGATCTCTTATTTCTTGCTTTCGCACGCGCCACGCACAAGCTGCTAACAACATTACACTACTCCAAAAATTCTCATCGAAATCGATTTGTTTCTACTTCTTGCATTTCACAGGAAGGCTTTTGAAGAATCACCGTGTGATATCTGGATATGTCGTGGCCTGGTAGCCGCTGAAGCTGGAGCTTTTTTGCGACAACGCTTTGCACGAAGTGGACAAATCATGGAGCCAATGCACATGTTGCCGAAGCTTCCCCACCTGCGCTTTTTGAATCACGCTATTAGGTTGGAGGCCATAGGTTACGGCCTCAACTACCCTCTGCTGTAACCAAACATTAAAAAAAACCATAGAAGAAGAAAGTGCACATAAGGCAAATAAGTGAAAGGACATCGCTTCAGCCTCCCAATCTTGCCGGCCCAAGTTTCTCTCTGAGAAATTCCAAAGGCGTTGATCCAGGGAAGTACCACCTGCGCCCGCAGTGCAAGAACCGGCAAAAAACAGGGTACAGCAGCTTTCAACTGCTCCTAGGAACTTATGAGGTCAATAAATGGAATTAAGCCCCAGATAGATACTCATATCATCTCATATCCGTTGCCTCCAATCCGGATCATGTCAGGTTTCCTTCCTAAATGTGGCTCGGCTGTCACCAAGTCCACAAGGAACTCATCGATTGCATGGTTCCTGAAGGAGCAAGTAAGGCGAGCACGGGGTGAGCACGGCGTGAGCAAAACTTGCAAAGCTGTTGACGACCGGCGACCCCCCCCGGACTTCTTGGTCTGTTGTGTTTTTTCATTTTCCCATCACTCTCGTAACAGCGTTGCAACCATTGGTGTGTGGGAACTGGCTGGTGTCCTTCCTTTTTCATGTCCTGGTTTAAGCATCTGACAAACATTAGTCTCCAACAAGAAAGCAACCGAAGAAGTCCTCTGTTGCCCTGGAAGGGCTTCGCCAAGGCTCTTGTATGACAGAACCAAGATGGGTGGAGTTCCAACCACCGGGCTCCTTGGCGCACAAACACATTAGGCCTCCAACCTAATAGCGTCCTTGCTCCTAGTAGTAAGAATGCTACTAGGGGCTCCTGGCCTTACTACTAGTAACAAGAAGCTAATAGAAATAACAAGATTAATTTGTTAGTAGCAAACGGGGGGGCGTAAGGCCAGGAGCCCCTAGTAGCGTCCTTGCTCCTAGTAGCGATGCCAGGAGCGATGGCCTCCAACCTGTTTGGAAGTACTGCTGAACTGAAGTACTGCAGTTACTTCGATCGCAAACGAACGTCTTTGTGCATCGAAGTTCACTTGCACCCAATATTTCCGGATAATCATCAACGCGCGCACCATTACAACACCAAGATATGATTTCCCGGTTCCGGGAGGTCCTGGCTTGAAGTTACCTACGTACATCGTTGTTCGTATCTTGTCCTTCCGTTTTCTTAGACGTTGACTTGTCTTCCCATTTATATCTGTTTACACCCATCTTTTTCTTTCCTTTCTGTTACCTACTCTTTCTTGCAAGAAAAAGGACAGTTGAACGTTAGGAATGCTGACGTCAAACGAGCTCTTTGGTTGATCTCTGTCCTTGGGTCAGGTGCACGGGATTGCGGAGGCCATCGATAAAGCTTCGCAATTGACCAGGGTCCAACGTGGCCTTTTGCAGAAGCGTTGTGATCTCTGCAGAGCACCTGCCCAGTCTTCACGCTTGAAGTTCCAAAAAACACTGTCTAGCTGTCCAGTTCTCACCAAAATATTGGAAATGGTGGGTGCATGCGCCGACATGGAGCGTTGTGGCAACTTCTGCACACACGGAGATGCCACTGCGGCGCAAGGCATCAACCCATTTAGGCCATGCATCACTGCTGTCCCAGGGGGGTACCTATCACGACAGGCTGGGGAAGACCAATTTCGTGAAGGATCCCCTCTTTCCTAAGCCAAAGGTGATCAAAAAGCCTCCAAAGACCTTTCTCAGAATAGGGTGGCGACCAATCCACAGACTGCAAGAAGTGCAACGCTTGGACTCAACACAATCGGCGTTGTCCTGATTTCGTGGAGCTGTCTTTCTTTCTGTTCATCTCTGTCTTGATCTCTACTTGCTTCTTTTCTACTTCATGAGTAGACGAAGACAGCAATAGAGAAAGACAGCGAAAAACACCTTCGAAGAAGCCGTTTTAAAGAACTGATGGCTGGTACGGGCAGTGTTGCAGCTCTCGCTGTGGAGAGAGAGAGAGAGAGAGGAGGGTTGAAGCAAAAAACAGCTTTCAGCAGTCGAAACTGGTATTGGGGCTAGAGATGCCCCAACGCTGTCAAGATCCATCCCTTGAGTGAGAACTGAGTGTTACCGCTTCACATGACTGCCAGCTTTCTGGTTGAAACGCTACTGTGGTGTGCGTTCAAGGTCGTCGTGAGACTCCCCTAAGTTGTGAGGTTTCTTGCCTGTTTCATCGCCAGAAAAAGACTTCAGAACATCCAAAGGCATAGTGCTTTGTTGGAAACGCATGCGTACGATGAACCGACAGCCGACAGCCAATCAGTTATTCTTGCCTGCCATTCTCGATCAACTTAAGCACAAAATCATGACGCAACTTCCGTGAACACATTGTGTCACTGCCACGCTCAAACATAGGCTTCGATCAAACACCACAAAACTCATGAGGCCTGTCTGCCAAATGTTCGTCGCGACGAATCTCGATGAAGGGTTGCAAAGTGCTTTCAGCGATAAGGCTGTCCACCTTGAGTGGATAAGCCGCAAGGCAAAGGCTTCATGTCTAGTAGTGTTGTGGAGCAAAAAGGTGCTCTTGTTCAGGTCCGTTGTTGCCAAAACCTAAACCTTCCAGAAGTAAGGGGTGCTTCCGGAAAGGAGTCGAGAACACAAAAAAGGGAACATGTGTCAAACGCCTCCAAGGCACCATTCTTTGTAGTCTTGACCTTCAGAAAGTGTGCAAAAAACGGGTCACGTGGACTTCGCCACTCTTTCGGTTTTCGACCTATTTCTTCTTCAGGTTGTCAGGCTTTGAGCATGTGTTCTACCAGTTATGTTGTTATGTTTATCGCACTTTGTGCATCATAGCAACTTCTGGTATGATGTGGAATAACTTGGAGACCGCGCGTTCCGTGTTTTTTTTGCATTTGGTTTCGCGTTTGGTTCCAGGTTGGCATTGGGCTAGGGTACAGCGCTTCGCCTTGATCCAGTAAGTCATTCAGACCTTTCTTCCTTTCCTTTTTTTGTTTCGTTTCTACTAGCCATAGGCTCCAACCTAATAGCAAACTATATTTGACCTTCCTTCCTTCCTTCCTTCCTTTTTTCCTTGAAGTTTGCAAAAAGAGAAGGCTGGTAGATGAGACAAATGTTGACAGGGAACTTGCGTGACATTTAGGCGCTCTGCATGGAGACAAGCTACATGTGCACGTCGTCCTCGCCGAGGACGTTGCTCACATCTGGTCGGTGCCAAGAGCATAGATTCAAATACGCTCCGCCCTTGGCATGGAGACGGAGGTGTCATGCCGCGGAAGTCGCAATATCTTGACGCCACAAAGGCTAACATCTTGTCAATAGAGGCCATTGCTATTGGGTTGGAGGCCATTGCTATTAGTAAATTTCTTTGCTTCTAATTCAAGATGCATTTAATTCAAAATTCATAGCATAGCTGTCACAGACGTATGTCGCCGACGCGAGCAATAGCAAAACTGAAGAGACTCGTTTCCCCGCAATGTTTGATGAATTTGATGGTTGTGAGAACATCTCAGTTGGACAGTGCACGAGGCCTCGAAAGGCAAATTGCTGTCCCGCTGCTTCTCCAACGCCTTCAGCACCGGAATGTACCTGTCTAGAAAAAGGAAGACAAAACTGGACAAAAGAAAGGCCTGAAGGCTTTAAAAAAACATCAAACAAGGAAAGAAACGCAGGCTCTAATGGGTTTTTGCGCATCTAAACATCAAGTTCAACGCGCCCATCTTTCCTGACAAGTTTATTCAATCTACTCTTTACCGGAAGAAACTACTTCCCTTTCGTTTTGGTCACCAATTTTTGTGCTTCAACTCTTCACCACTTGCTACAAAGAACAGGAACTCTTTCATCCATATACAATGTCCATTCTCTTTTTCTCTTTTTCGACATTCTGATACTTTCTTTTTTATGCTTTCCTTTGAACAAAGCAAACAGTGGCTGTGAGCATGATATGCATCTAGCTGAATCTTGCGTCCCCTGCAAATTGGCCAAGTGACTCAGGGACAAACGTCATGCAATCGATCACTGCGACGTGGTCTCCTTCAGCAAAATGGTCCGCATCGAACTCGATCACCGATGCCTTGATGCGCAAGGCATACCAAAATACAGCCGTTCTTATTTTTTTTAAATGAATAAAAATACACCTGAGAAAGGAGAGGACGAAAACCAGCGAGAGACCAAGATGGTAGCGCAAGACTGGGAGGAAAAAATGGCGGAGCACTTATTGTTGAATGCGTGTAGCTTTCGTGGAGCTTGTACCAACGTGGAGTAGACCAAGATCGGAGCACAGCATGAAGGTTCTAGGCTTTCTGGATTTTCCTGGTGCGGTGCTCTCTGGAGCGTCCCTGTTTGGTGGTCTATTTGAGAATCCGGGTGTAAACGTCAGTGACAACCAGGATAAGGATGCCCGAAAGGTGGTTTTTTGTTGTTTTGAAATGTGTTTCGGGCATCGTACATCAATGCGAAGCCCTACAAAGAGCAGGGCTGGGAGAAAAAAGAGGAGAGCACTCATTCTTGAGTGGTTGTAGTTTTCGTGGAGCTGGTATCACTGCGACGTAGATGAAGATCGGAGCACAGCATGAAGTGTTGAATGTTTTTAGTTTTCTTGATTTGCTTGGTGCGGCGCCTTCTGGAGCGTCCCTTGTTGGTGTTCTGTTTGAGAATCCGTGCAAAAATAAACGTGAGTGAACACCAGGAGAATGATGCCCGAAATGGTTTTTGTGGTTGTGTTGAAATGTGTTTCGGGTATCGTGCATCAATGCGAAGCCCTATAGAGAGCAGGGCTGGGAGGAAAGATAGCCGAGCACCTATAGTTGAAAAACAGCGATGCCCGAAATATGTGTTTTTTCGCGGTGATCGGCGATATTTCGGGCATCGTGTTGAAGTCTTCCACACTTGGCAGAAGAAAAATCCCTTAGTTATTTCGAGTGATCCCCATCATGACTATCCTCTGACATTTCCAGTGGTCCCCACCATACATTCTTTCTGGCAAATCGTCTGACATTTTATCTTCTGACATTCTACCTGGCCTTTCTGCTAATGATGGCCACCGAAAAAATTCACTTAGTTATTTCGAGTGATCCCCACCATGACTATCTGCCGACATTTCCAGTGTTCCCCACCATGACTATCTTCTGACAGTTTAACTGCCTAATCCTCTGACATGCTCTTCTGGGGGTGGTTAGTCGTGCGCGGGCTCCCTCCGTGGTGTCCAACCCTTTCGACTCTTTTGGTCGTCGGGTGCTCTTTCTCAAAGATGATCAAAGTACAAGAAGAAAGCTCTACAAAAAAAATTCACGGACTTATTTCGAGTGATCCCCATCATGAGTAGCTTCTGACCAGAATGCCGTGCGGTGGGTATGGACGGCGCGAAAAGCAGCAACTAGAGAGAAAACATACTTGTTGATATTCGTTCTGACATATCTTCTGACGTATTATCTGCCAGATCTTCTATCGTTCACTCCCTCCGCGCGCTCACGAAAATTGTCCGGGTGAAGGTGCAAGGAACTGAGAAGTAACAAAACGTGCGCCAACGCGACCACAACAGCGATGCCCGAAGTACGTGTTTTTCGCGATGGTCGGCGCTATTTCGGGCATCCTGTTGAAGTCTTCCACACATGGCCACAGAAGAAAAGAACCACTTAGTTATTTCGAGTGATCCCCACCACGACTATCTGCTGACATTTCCAATGATCCCCACCAATTGTCCGGGCGAAGGTGCAAGGAACTGAGAAGTAACAATACGTGAGCCAACACGAAAAAAACGGTGATGCCGGAAATGCGTGTTTGTCGCGGTGATCGGCGAAATTTCGGGAGAACAACAGCGATGCCCGAAGTATGTGTTTGTCGCGGTGATCGGCGATATTTCGGGCATCGTGTTGAAGTTTTCCACACATGGCCACAGAAGAAAAACACACTTTGTCATTCGAGTGATCCCCATCATGACTATCTTCTGACATTTCCAGTGATCCCCACCATACATTCTTTCTGGCAAATCGTCTGACATTTTATCTTCTGACATTCTACCTAGCCTTTCTGCTAATGATGGCCACATAAAAAATCACTTAGTTATTTCGAGTGACCCCCACCATGACTATCTGCTGACATTTCCAGTGATCCCCACCATGACTATCTCCTGGCAGTTTATCTACCTGATCCTCTGACATTCTCTTCTGAGGGTGGTTAGTCGTGCACGGGCTCCCTCCGTGGTGTCCAACCCTTTCGACTCTTTTGGCCGTCGGGTGCTCTTTCTCAAAGGTCAAAGTACAAGAAGAAAGCTCTACAAAAAAAATCACGGACTTATTTCGAGTGATCCCCATCATGAGTAGCTTCTGACATTTCGAGTGATCCTCAATTCGAATGATCCCCACCAGGATGATCTTCTGACATTTTATCTGGCAAAGCTTCTGACATTTTGTCTGGCAAGCCTTCTGACATTCTACCAGACCTTTCTGCTAATGACGCTCCAGAAAGCAAAGAAACTGGTCTCCAGACCCCTTCGTGACGCTAATGCTGCGCTACTCGGCGTCATTTGCATCGCTTGCATCACCAAACCGCTTCTTTGATGCTTTTTTGACGTGTAAAACCAGCGGAGTCAACTAGAATCTTCGACAGACAACAAAGAAGGCGAATCGACACCGAACATTGCTGATCGGTCAAGGCTTGTTTGGTCTACGATGCTCAAGGATCCTCGACGGTGAAATGGCGACGTCAGGGGAATGTCAAGAGTGTCTTACGCTCTAGACCTTGGTTTCTCAGCCCCGAAAAATTAAGATTCCCCTGGCGCGCCGAAACTTTCAGTCTATTCAGGGATTGTTTTCCCTGGCCCAACACTTCGTCCTCTTCCTGGATGGCATACCTTCCAGTGCGCAAGAGCTTCAACATCGGCTCTGCATGCGCTCCAGCAACTTTCGTGAGTGCGTCCGAGGGGTTTGCGTTATGAGGCACCCAACGAACTCGTCCACTAACAACAGCCACCGACTCACGGACGATCGCCAGTTCGAAAGCAACCCTGTCGTCACTTCCGTGTCTTTGCTCTGCGTTCATTGCGTCGTACAATGATTTTGCATCAACCACGAGGATGCTTCCGGGATCGGTGAACCCTACCGACTCCGCAGCAACTACAGTTGCCTTGCCAGCCATGGCAAGCTCCTCATCCTCTAGCTTCTGTCTGCTGCGAGGGTGGAAGTGAGCAAATCTAATGCTCTGGAAAAAGGCATCTTGTCTTTCGAGCGCCGCTGAGGCTGTGGACAATGAGATCGTCTCACAAAGCAAGCTCGACGGCTTTGCGTCTCAACCTTTTTGATCTCCACTGCATGAGCGACTGGTGCTGATGCTCCCTTGTTCAAGGTTTCATCTGTAAAACCCAACAACCAACCATGTTGAGCTCTTTCTTCTTTGCCTCTCTGAATGCCACCCTTTCGGGCTCTGACAGGCGAGCAAATTCGACCTGGCCAAAAGAGGACTTGGCCTTGGTCAGGTAGAAGAGCTTGTCCCTTGGGCAGAAGCTTGCTTCGGCCTGAGAGGCATTGAAGGTTCCTTGAGAGTGCACTCGTGGTTGAGGGAAGACCCTGTTCACGGTCATGCTTCCAAGTCACTCCAATGAACTTTGGTGCAACTCCCATTCCGGCCATATCATCATCTTGCTCGAAATTGATCACTTCCAGGAACGTGGAGCTTCCTGCAGGAGTTGGCAGTGACGGGATGGTGCCTGTCATTGGATATGGATTCTGCCGACTGCGGGTCTGGTTTGGTTGAAAGCCCAACGGTGGTGTTTCGGGGACTTGATCCCACTGGGTTCTTCTTGTTCTGAGGGGTCCAAAGCTCATGGTGCCGTGGGCTCCTTCATCGACTCTCACTGTTTGGGGTCCCGACAGCGCAAGCATGACTTCATCTGGAGCTGACTTATCCTCAGTGTTGGTCCTGGGAAAAGAGTCATTGGCGGTGTGCTCGGTTCTGCTTGGTGCGGATGGTGACATTGGTTCATCGCCTTCTGCGATGGCCTCCATAGGTCTGCTTTCCTCGGGAGGTTCAAGGAAACTGACACGGCGGCTTGATGGTTCGGATGGCTTGGTGGTGTTGGCTTCTTCTGACTCCATTTCAAGATTTTCCGAAGGCGGCGCTGTGCTTTCGGTTGTGCTCCGAGCGGGTGGCGCTTCAGGGTCCGTTCTTCGTTCGGTAACCCTGATGATTCTTTGAACTTCGTCCCCGGGCATGTCATCATCTTGAGGGAAACTTTCTTGGGCGACGTCCTGAAACGCCACTTGGCCCGGCTTGTGGACTTTGTTCAACATTTCTTTGGAAAGTTCCACCACTAGCTCGGCTCCCAACTCTTCTTCAGGGTGTGCAAGCCTGATTTGTTCTCGGCTGGCTTTCCACAATCGTCCTCTCATCGAGACCCAACAGGAGCGGTTGTTGAGATCTTCTGCAATGAGAACACCTCGGCCGGTCCAGCCTTTGTAGGATGGAGTGTCTCTGAAGACATAGACCCATGAGCCTGGTGCTAGGCTCTTCATATCTGAGGTTCTTGTCTTGGCCCTTATGCTTCTTCGGATGGCCTCTTGGTCCTGCCTCCTAACCCACTCCTTGGTGGCGATGTGTTGAATCTCCCACAGTCTTCGCACTGGTTTGGTGACTGATGCTTGCGGGAGTTCTTGGTCCATGGAGTCGGAGGTCAACATCGAACCATGAAGGCGAAGGTTCTTGCCAAAAACTCTTTGCGTTGGAGAGAAGCCAAACCTGTTCATGAACCGATTCCTCGCCGACACAGCTTCAGCAATCGCTAGATGGAGTTCTTCCGGTGTTGCGGACACTGCGTGGGCAGTTGCCAAAATCTTTTCTTTCAAGATTCCTCCTGCACGTTCTGTGCGGCTGTTTTGCCATGGACTTTCTGCATCAATGTGCAGGCCACATCCTTGGTCTCCTAGCACTGCGTGGAACTTCTCATTGAAGAATTCCTTTCCTCTGTCCAGGACCAACAGCTCAGGCGGGCCGAAAACCTTGACCCACATGTCCATCAACGTCCGCAGCACTTCATCAGCTGATTTGTTCTGGCGCAGACTTGCCTGTTGGTAATTGGTTCCCCAGCATAGGGCCTGGAGCAAAATGTACTCTTGCCACGACTTGGTTGAATTCGAGGGACCTCATCAAATGGCCTGGCCTCGCAGGACTGGGCTTGGTTCGACTGGCGCAAGTGGCGCATCTGAAGTGGTCCTTGGTCCAGCGAAGGCAATGCTGGGGCCATCATCATCTGTTTTGGAGAAGTCGTCAACCTTCTGCAGAGCCTTGGCGATCCTTGTCTTCCAGCCGCCTTAGCTCTCTTCTTACGTCCTCCGCAGCATCATGCTCTGGAGGTTCGGGCGTTTGAGCCATGGGTTCATCGGAGGGGCCCACCTCCGTTGGCTCATATTCATTCAATTGGTCCTCCTCCAACGGTCCAAATTCAGTCGGATAGGATGATGCTGCGTATGACCGCTGAAATTCTTCCTCCAGCTCAACTTGGTCTTTGGCATACACATAGGCGGCTTGGCCCAATGCTTAAAGGGCAGCCTCAAGCGGTAGGCCATTGGTGTCTGCCTTGATTCCAGGAGCTTCTTTGATTCCTCTCAGAATCGCCTTCACAAAGGCAGGCGTGAAAATGGCGGCCCCACTGGCTGCTCCACCAATGAGTTGGCCGTGTTCGTGGCCTTTGTCACAGAGGCGGCTGACATGGGCGGCCATCTCTGCAATGTTGGTGATCAGCATGGTCGGCTTCTTCACCAACTGATCTTTGTATGGCCCACTGCTGCTCGTAGTCCAAAGCGACACATGTCCAGGAGGATCTGGTATACTCCAGGTTCCAATTGGTTCATCTCGTCCAGTTGCCACGAGGAGGCACTGGCAGGCTGTTCGAGCACAAATCCTCTGTGCTCCCTGAGTTGGAGGCGGCACAAACTAAGGGCAAAGAGCATGTGATTGAGACCTTGTTCATACTCTTGCTGAACGACCCTTTGATTCCTTTTGTGGTTTGAAAGGGATCGAAGTCTGGAGAAGACCATGCAAGGTGGGCTCAAAATGAGCACTGCCGGTCGGTGTTTGGCAATCTTGGAGAGCCTGGCGACGGTGTTCTGGCAGGTCAAAATTCCAGCGCTTGAACACCGTCTTGAGGTTAAAGAGGTGGGTGTGAAGTGGCAGCAACGTCAACAGGAGGTGAAAAACGTTCAAAACGCTCAAAAACGACATCTCCGGACCAAAAAGGAAATTGGCGTTGCTGACCGGTCCACAGATCATGGATGTTGGAGGCAATGTCATCATCAGAAACAGCATGTGTGACTCTTCCGGTGGAAAGGTGAGGCAACTCGGCTGGGGAGAGGCACTCTGAAGGATGTACCAATGTAGCACGACGGCCTGGCAAGGTGCCTACAAAGGTGACCACTTGACCTTCTTTGACCCACACTGCAACCCCTGGGCGCTGCTGAACACGATTTCGCTCTCCAGCAATGTCCATGTGAAACGGGTTGCGATCCTTTGCGCCAAGTTCATCTGCCAGCTGTGGAGGGAGTTTCCACTGTCCAGAAAATTCGACAACAGAGATGGCTCGATGGCCGGAAGGGGTGCGCCTCATTGGGGTCCTACGGCCATTCTTCAAGGCGAAGATGTTTCGACCTGTATCAACAACTCCACCAACCAACTCAATGTACGAAATGGGCAGCAAAAAAGGGGTCTCAAAGTTCCCTTCATCAGCTATTTCGGTCACTCGAATGAGTGAGTTGCAGCGAGCCACACCGATCGGGACATCATAAATCCCAACAATGCGCGCACTTCCACCAATGCCCGCGCAAGAAACTGTTGAGCCAGATGCCTCCACCGGCTGCAGCTTGAAGCGGGAAAGCGCTTCTCGAAGTCTTCGCATGGCGTTGCTACCAATGACTCCTTCCTCCGCAGCAGTGTCCACAATGGCTTCTGTCCCTTCAGTCTTAACCCCAGCAAAGATTTGTGCACACTTTTGCACCTCAGAGGATACATTCACCAACACAGAGTTCACCTCTGGGGGTGAAGCATCCGTCCAACATTCTGCTCGACCAATGCACTGTTGCTCAATGTTCTGTTGCTCAATGCTCGACTGTTGCACAATGCTCTGTTGTTGCGCAATGCTCTGTTGTTGCGCAATGCTCTGTTGCTCAACGCTCAACTGCTCAACGCACGACTGGTCAATGCACGACTGTTCGACGCACGACTGCTCTGGCATTTTTCCTCTTGGTTTGGTTCCAAATCCGGGGGTTAAATTTAACCCCCGCTTTTCATCAAGCAGCTGCCCAGCATCACCGGCATCATTTCCGGCTGGATCAAGAAGCTGCCCGGCATCACCGGCATCATGTCTGCGAGTGTGCCCCGAACCAGCTGGAAATTTGCCAGACTGCTCAATGCACAATGTAGCAGGTCCAACTTGTGGCTCGACTCCAACCTTCTGCGGCAGCGTTGCAACGACATATGTCCGTGACTGCTCCAACTGTGTTCCACGACACACGAAGAATGAAGTCCGGCTCTTCTGAGGACACTCCTTGCTCATGTGTCCCAGCTCGCCACAAGAGAAGCCTTTTGTTCGAGCCATCAAGTCTTCTGGAGTACCACGGTTTCCAGCTGAAGTTTTTCCCTTGCGACTTTTGCGCTTGCCCTTCTTGCCAGAACCCTTGGCTACAGAGCGGCCTTTGGGTTTGTAAAACTGTCGACCTTTTCTCCTGGCTTGCAACTCCTTCCGGATGTCCTTGCAAGCACTATTGTAAGCCCAGATGTAGTTGGCCTCTTCTTCTGTGTACTCTTGGTGGGTGTCGAACAGCAAGCAGTTCATTCCACCTTCTCCGTCACTTTCCGGGCCTTCTTCCCAGTCTTCATCTGGGACCAACTCTTCATCTTCATAGTCGACTTCTTCGGCAGCCTCTTCGTCATCTTTTGAACCGGCGGCCAAAAAGGTCTTGGCCACCCGATGCACTAAGGCCTCCGGCCGATCCAAAGGTCGTAGAGCAGCGGCCATTTGTTCAAACGGCAGAAGTGAATTGTATTTGATTGCCAGGGCTTCCTTTTGGGTCTCGCTCAAATTGGCGTGACGTAGGAGCATTCTTCCAGCAATCCATGGAGGTACCTTCTCACCAACTTGACTTTCCAACTCAGCGAGGGCAATCTCCTTGGCTGCAATGTAGGTGGCTAGACTTTCCGATCTACTCCTTTCGCTACCGTAGAAGAAATTCTCCACGGCGGCGGGTCCAGCGGCCTCCAAGTAGGGACCATACTTGGTCAATATTGCAGACAAGATTGCACTGTATCCATGTTCCGAAGACAGCGCGCTCAGATCAAGAGCTTCTGCCACCTTGCGAGGCACGCTCCCTTCAGGAAAGGATTGAAGTAGTTTCAAACCCCAACGTTGCTTTGGGAGGTGGTTGTCCAACTCCCACAATAACAAGCTCCTCAACCACGGCCTCAGGCTCTCAATGTTGCCGTTCCACTGAGGCAAACTCTTCTTGTCTCCGGATAGGGCAGCAGTCAAGGCCCGAAGCATAACTTCGTTTGAGTCTTGTTGCACTGGAGGTGCTGTCACAGCGTTTCGACCTAACAATTCGAAGGCGCTCTTGACAGACGGCTGTTCTCCAGCAGGTGGAGTGGTATTCAATTGCTCCATCATTTGAGTGGCATTCAACGGAGCACCTGAAAACGAACCAGGTCCTGGTGGCCGCATTGTCGAAGGCGTGAAATTTCCAGCAAAACTCTGTCCTTGTCCCATCTGGGGACTTGTTGCACGCATGAATTGTTGATATGGGTTTCCCATCACTGAACTCATTCCCAAACCAGTTCCCAGCATTCCTACGGAAGGGGGAAAGGCTTGTCCAAACATTGGGGCTCCAACGGTATTCGCTTGAAACCCGGGCGTCATTGGGCTCGATGAAGGCGGACCAGGAAATCCCTGACCCATCCCAGCACCCTGCGCGGTTGTTCCAGCAGAACCTCGGACCAAGGCGTCACCTGACGGTGCAGAGTGCGGCGAAAACCTGCCAGCAGTTGTGGGGTTGTTGGAAAAGTATAGGTTGCCTGAAGCACATGGTGTCGAAAGATGCGAAGGTCCGGTAGCAGCTACACTTGTAGGTTGCCCACACCATGATGCTGGTCCAGGTCCTGTGTATTGTTGCCAGGGATCCGATGCTTGTAGGGGATCCGTGCAATCCAACGAACCACAACAGCTGGCAGGGAGCCGGAGGTCGTCTCCGGCTCCGCTACCACTGTAAAACCAGCGGAGTCAACTAGAATCTTCGACAGACAACAAAGAAGGCGAATCGACACCGAACATTGCTGATCGGTCAAGGCTTGTTTTGTCTACGATGCTCAAGGATCCTCGACGGTGAAATGGCGACGTCAGGGGAATGTCAAGAGTGTCTTACGCTCTAGACCTTGGTTTCTCAGACGCTTTCCTGGCCACACTCTTTTTCGCTCTCCCCCACCAGTCTCAGGGTTCGACCTCCAAAATCTGCTGGCTTTCGTGATTAATATATATATATATAGATATTTATATTTGTATTTGTTATTTTAAAAGATTTTTTCCCTTTTTAAACCTTTCTATCTTATTTTCTTTGGACCTTCTGAGCTTAGATTTTTGGATCGAGCAAAGGTAGTTCAGTCCTATCCGATTTGAGTTGGGCAAGAACATGAGTAGGCAGCAGCACTTTTAGACCTTCTAGGAGACATGTTTCGCTCCTGCATTTTAACAATTAAGCAAGCAAGACCGGTTAGACCCTGAGGACCTGGCCACATTCACTGCAAGGTAACCATCTTGCCGCTTCCGAGCTTCATCTGTAGGCTTCCCGCCATGCTGGTGGTTGCAAATTTCACCCCAAAGGATGCGATCTGTCATCTTCAGCGCTGCGCCTGCTTGACACACCATGCTGTGGGGAGTGGCATCTTCGGCATCCGCAACATCTAGGCATCTTCCGAATTGCTTCCAACCTAATGGCGATTGCCTCCAACCAAGTAGCATTTGATAAAAACAACTTCATTCCAACCTTAAATGTGACACCTTATGCTTTTCAGTGCATCTGCATCCCCCGTCACTTGGCCTTGTTCTGCCAACTTGACCAAGCCAACTAAATTGGGGCTTTGCAAGCGCTTCGACGTTCTCCAGTTCACTGCATATTGAGGTGGGCTGCGAGACTGCACTCCATTAAAGTACAGCCTTCAATTGCAATCTTGCAACTGCATTGATCATACAATCTTGCGCAACACATTAGTCCAGTGCTCTCCAAGGTTTTTTTGGATTTAGTTGTGACATTGTTGTCACACAAATCCTCCTGAAACGGATCCGTTGTTTCTGTTTTTTGCAAGGTCTACAATGCTTGCGCCGCTCACGCCTGCCATCTGCCCCGATATGTGAAAGCGCAGCATCGTAGATGTGGGTTGAAGCTTTGGGACCTGGAAACACTTTATGCCTAGGAACAAGGACGCTACTAGGGGCTCCTGGCCTCACTAGCAAGAAACATAAGACAGTAGTATTATGTTTGGTCTTGTCTTTTCTTAATTGTTTCATTCCTTTTTCATTGTCTTTCTCTATCAAGGCACGCTGACTCTTCCGTTTTAATGGAGGCGTTGACGCAGTGCTTCCAGTGCCAGTCGCTGCACGCAGTGCTACGCGTAGACCGCTTGAGCTTAGCAAAAGAAAACGTTGTTATATTCTTTCTCTCAGCACAAGAAACACATGCGCTTTCTATGTCGCTCTGATTCAGTTTGAATCGATTAGACCGCGCAGGTTTTGTTTCATTTTTCAAAAACACCGTTCTTACGCAAGGTTTGTCTCCTCTCAAATCTTTCCTGGATGGCCCTGACGCCTCCCTTTGCTCAGCTTCAGACTTGCTCGGCCCAAAGAATGTAACGTTGCCTTTGCAGAACATGCTGAGAACATTAGCTACTAAGCTTTAAGTAGCTACCAATAGCGATGGCCTCCAACCTACTAGCGATGGTGGGTAATGGGGTAACAAAAGGTAGGACAATGTCAACTCAGTTAACTGGACATGAACGGATTGTTCTTGACCCAGCCTCGTTGGCGCACTTCTTGCAAAGGCCACACTGGTGGTTGCGATTGCCACAAGCCAAAACCACGCTCCCGGCACAGCGCCCTGGAATGTTCTCTGACGATGAGACACGACCCTACTCCTCTGTGGATGAGAATGGCACGCCTTGAGAACATCGTTTACAGAATAATGAGGACTACTAACTACTAAGAAAGAAAACAACACAAACAGCATATCTGTCCAGGAGCAAATAGCTACTAGTAACAAGGGCATCGCTACTAGGAACAAAGACGCTACTAGGGGCTCCTGGCCGTACTACTAGGGAATGAACATGGACGCTACGAACGGAGCATATCGACATCACTACCGTGCAAAAGCTATATAGTAGTAACAAGTGCCTTACTACTAGTAACAATAATAGTTTAATTAGAATTGTAATTAGTAGCTTCTTGTTACTACTAGTAAGGCACCTGTTACTACTAGCGTGGCACTTGTTACTAGCAAAGGAATCTACTAGGACCTTTTTTTCGCCAAAGTGGCGAGTGCGGCACTCCAGGCCCTGCCCCTCTGGGATTGGCCACAAGGGCGCCCCACATGCCTCATTCGAAACACACGGCAGAAATCGAAGAAGCGATGCCCTTTGCTCCTAGTAGCTTCTTGCTAGTAGTGATGCGCTAGTGACTAGTAGCGTCCTTGTCCCTAGTAGCGATGCCAGGAGCCCCTAGTAGCGATGCCCTTTGCTCCTAGTAGCTTCCAAACAAGCGTCATCTAGAACAAAAACATTATTTTGTTAGAACACAACATGTGTCGATGTTCTAAGTGTTCTTGGTTGGGAATAAGGATCAAAAGGGGACCAGCAACAAAACGTGGCACACATATTAAGAACTGGTACAAAACAGGAGAGTTGCTGTTAAAAAGAGTTCTAGTGTAAGCTGTCTTTGATAAGGAGAGTCACCATCTTTCGCTTTGCATCTTGTGAGACTTGAGACGAACAACGCCATGCTATGCCACGCTGCTTTTCCCTTTGCGTCTCTTTGCCAGCATGTGGGAGTAACCGAAGCATTGCCATCGCTGAATGTCATGGCAACCATCAGCTTCTGGATGGTGTCCATGTACTGTTCTGGGGAGTCCTTTCAAAACAGTATGCTTCTGACATCACTAGCTGCAGAAAGCGGTCAAGAACAAAATCGCCCGTGACTTGCCAAGTTTCGTAAATCCCACGCGTATCGATGCCTTTACCCTGCGCAAAGCAAGAAGCAAAGACCGTCGCAGAAAAACTTGGATGGTTGAAAGAAACAAACATAGGAGAGTAACATGCTGGTGAGACATAAACAAGTATGATGAGTCGTGGCCTTGTGCCCGCCCCGCATTTTTGGCAGTGCTGGAGGCGCAAAGAGCTCGCTTCTGCAAAGCCATGACACTGTTGCAACTCGCCAATGGCTGCTCTCTGTGGCGGCTACAGTAGGACCATCTTCTTCCTCCGAATCGCAAACATTTTCTCTCGCAACTGAGATCGATATCTCTTTTGAATGCTATTTGTTTAAGTTTCCCTAAAAGTCTAGGAACCAAATCACTAATGCGATCGTGAGCTATCCTGCGTCAAGTTACTCGTAGCTTAAGTAGTAAGCTAGTAGCGAACTAGCCCCGTACTAAATTAAGTAGACCTACTCAATTAAGTAGGTAGTAGGGGGAGCAGGCTTAAACAAAAAGTTAACTGAAACACGATTGTCGTCTTACGCCAAATGATGCAGCTTGCGAATGCTCAGTGCACCCGAACCTGTGCTGTGGCATCGGCTTGCTTCAGCTTGATGGACCATGGCTTGTCCAAGTGCTCCATGAGCTCCAAAATCCTGGCAGAACGGAAGAACAATACCTTTTTACGCCTTTTTCGACCTTCTTATTTTTCTCTGTTTATGTTCTTTCTTTCCTTTTGTTGTTTGTGGAGCATCTAAGTGCCGGACCTCTTCCTTGCTTCCTTGTGATCCTGGACAAAATGCACCCCAAACCAGCACCTAGACCTAGTCAGAGTAGGAATCCTGTCCTTCTGTCGAATTTGGAGACAACCATCTGCCTCAGAAAAGAATCACTAGAATGTCCAATGTTCTGAACCTAGTGGAACCAATGTTGGTTTTATCTAATATTAGGTTGGAGGCCATTGCTATTCGTTTTGTTGTTTTTGGACTTGTTTGAACTAACCCATACGTCGGAGTGGCCTCTTCCAGAATAGACTGGAGCGCATCTTTGACCTCAACAGAAAGGCACATTTAACACCTCTGTCCACCTCACATTTTGAGGAGAAGCAGCGACAGTCAGTCTTTAATTGTTCTTGTTTTGGAGACGCGAGCTAAAGTTCAACAAATGTCTCCCTTCGCACATCGTCAGAATCTTTTCACAGATTGACACTTACTGCCGTTGCGTGTAAAACTTCAACAATGAGTTCACACGATGATTAGGATGGAGGCCATCAATAGTAGGGTGGAGACCATCGCTACTAGGAGCAAGGACGCTAGTAGGGGCTCCTGGCCTTACTACTAGTAACAAAAAGCTGCTAGGGGCTCCTGGCATCGCTACTAGGAGCAAGGATGCTATTAGGAGCAAAGGGCATCACTCATCCCACCTCTTCTGCCGAGATTTCCCATTCCAGTGTCAGAAGTCGCTTCACCACGTTTTCGCACACCTGGACAAAGGTGAAAGGATGTGAAAGGACCGCACAGCATATGCAATGCGG